AAGGAAAGTTTTGGATCCGCCCTTTTCTAGTTTTTTCATTTTTAATTCTGAGGAAATTTTCCTCATTTTATCTATTGATATTAAATGTAAAACCAAGGAGACCCCTTTGAAGGGGGTTACGTGCCTCCGGCTCTATAAAAACACTCTAGGGGTAGGACAGACTCGTACCAGGTGGAGTCGGGGTCAATCAATTCGGTTCTTTGATATAAGTTACCTACCATAACCCATTTTATTTATCTTCCCTAATAGGTACTGTTAAAATAAAACAAATTTCAATAAGAGATCATTTATTATGGTATCTTTCTTTTTTTTTCATAAAATTGATTTATATTTACATTATATATGCAAACATGAAAAAATATCGATATTTTAGAAATCGATTTATTGTCAATCGATACATCAGCTTACGATTCAAATCGATTTAAAATCGATCTTTTTCGGAAAGAATCGACATTCCTACTGACGATGACAATGAGAATACAAAATAGCGTCAGTTTTAAGGTAGGAATTGACATAGTAAATATTGCAAAAATAATTGATTTTCAATAATTTTTTTCTCATAAAGTACGCGTTTCCGCATGTTGAAACTTTGTGTGTGTAACTTTGCTGTAAAAAAAAATATCAACCACCAACTCGACGGACGTCAATGGAAAGCTAAGCTACAAAAATCACTCACATAATTATATAAAATAGACATAACTACTGACAAGTAATATTTTTGAAGTGAATAAGTGAGTTGTAAGACGGCTAGATTTGAACTGCGCAAGTGGCACAACAACTCAACAGCGATACTCGCTACAGTACAGCGAACAACTTGTCACGACGAGGGCCCGAAAACGTCCCATTTTCTGAAATGGAAAATGACAAAAGAGTTAAGGTCCTCGGACTTCAATGGAATCCAGGATCTGATAAATTTAATTTTAAAGTTCAAGTTACTACTCATAAATGCACAAAGAGGGATATTCTTTCTGAGATCGCGAAAATATATGACCCCCTCGGGTTGCTATCACTGGTATATGTATGTATATGCCAAGCATTTGATCTTACTATTGTGGATGGCACATGTAGATTAGGATGATAATCATTCATGTTATTAATTAGTGGAACGTTACATAAACGAGTTACCGCTGTTTTCACAGGTAACGTTTCCTCGATACTTTTTCAGTAATAATATCGATTTGGTGGAAATTCATGGATTTACTGACACGTCTCAGATCGCATATGCCGGCTTTGTCGTCTATATTCGACTTACAAGCAAGGCCGACAATATTTATACTTACCTGATTATGGCAAAAACTCGGGTAGCTCCGTTCCGCGTACCCTTCACCATCCCACGTCTCGATCTGATGGCAGCTCTATTGCCTTCAAAGATATTAGATAATGTAGCAAATTTGTATAGAGATCGCATATGCTACCAACAGATTTACGCATGGTCCGACGCCTCCATCGTAATAGTCTGGCTCCGCTCGTCACCGCATGACTGGAAGACGTTTGTTTCCAATCGCACTAGCGATGTTCTATTCCGCGTACCCGCCGGTTGCTGGTACAATATCCCGTCAGCCGATAATCCTGCTGACGCTGCATCACGTGGCGTGCTACCTACCGCGCTAGTACATCACGACTTGTGGTTAGTCCCGACTACTGACCTGTTGAGAATCAAAGTATGAGCTCCTGTATAGAGAAACGTAACTTAACGCTATCTTCTGATATGTCCACTGCACCGCCAGAACAAAATGCCAAAATTATAATGCGATTTTGGTCGCTAGGCAAACTCGTTCGAATTACCGCACTAATATTCCGTTTTTATAATAAATGCAAAAGGGTCAAAAATTCGTTCTCGGGTTATTTACAGTGCCTAAATATATTTTTTCTTTAAATCGACTAATTTGCCTTACTCAACAATCGGTCTTTCAAGACGATATTTTAAAAACACCTCAAGGAAAATTACCTTCTAATCAATTGCGACGTCTTATGCCGTTTTTGGATGATGACGTACAGGAGATCGAGTTCATAAATCATTATCACCATTTGAATCTAGACATCAAATAATTTTACCGAAAAAAAATGCTTTGACTGATTTGATTACCGACGACGCTCACATAAGCTATCTGCACGTAGAGTTCAGTCCGTGCAATAGTTGCTGTTGCAGTGTTATTGGATATTGTCTTGCCCTGACATCGTGCTTCTACGCATACATCGCTGTGTCGTCCGTCGTCGTTCCGTGCTCGTCCAACGCGTGATCAACAGCGAATGGATCCACTGCCAGCTTCGAGGATATGTCCGGCGCGTCCTTTCCTCAAAACGGCCGTAGATTATGCCAGTCCATTTTTTGTTCATGCTAATAAAGTACGTAACGCAAAAATAGTGAAGTGTTATATTTCGGTATTCGTATGTATGAGCGTTAAGGCCGTACATCTCGAATTCGTTTCGGAGCTTTCCACTGATGCATATTTAGCAGCTCTGCGACGCTTCACGTCCCGTCGAGGATTATGTACGTATATATATTCGAACTGCGAAAATAATTTTGTAGGATGTAACAATTATCTTAAAGACTTATACGCGTTTTTACGTAGTGATGTCGTTCAAAGTACACTTAATCAACAAAACGTTCTACAGGGACTTACGTGGCTCTTTCAACCTCCGTATGCTAGCTATTTTGGAGGTCTCTTCGAAGCCAGTCTTAAAAGTTTCAAGCACCTCCTACATCGTGTGGTTAGAATTCGTACTCAGAGTTATGACGAGATGCATACTCTTCTCTGTCAAATCGAAGCTGTGTTAAACTCACGTCTCCTTTGCGCCATAAATCTATCGATCCCTTATCTTTAATACCGTTTCATTTTTTAATAAGAGCGGCGCTAATTAATGTATCTTTGTTAGACAAAAAACTTCCTAACCGTCTCGCACGTCATAGTTCGCACGTCATCATAGTTTAGAGATTTTTAAAAGAAATTACTTCTTTTAAGGTGAGAGGCATGTTCCCTACTGGAACAAATTATTTATATGTTATGTTTTTAGTTCTCTTTTCGTATATATTAAGTACAAGGCAACACAATTTTGAAGATAGTATTTTTTCTATATTTCTATTAAATCCATTGGGTTGGCGATCAACTGTTTTCAGTCTGAATGTAGCCGTAATCTTTCGGGTTATGGCTCACTGCGCGACACAAGCGCCATATTGATTGGCGGGAGGTGTGAATAGTCTAATTGAAACCATCAACGCGTACGCATACAAATATATTACGTGTTACTCATGCTCTAAAAAAAGAATTAGATTTTCAACCCAGGTTAAAAACCTACCCAACCCGGTAAAATATACATTTGAATTTTGTGCTATTGAGATTGTTACAGTTGGCATTTGCGTTGTATGTATATATAGGATTCAAAATTATAATATAAAATTAATTTTTTGAATATTTTAATCAACTTTTAAATAAACTCATTACGAAAAATAATAAAAGAATTCTGTTTGTGGAGATTAGAATACAGAAATTTTGAAAAATGGTATTAATTCTAAATTACTTAATTTTATTTTTTACAATCATAACTTAAATAACCACGTTTGTAAGCCAACCAGGAAAATGTCGTGTATTGATTTGATTGCCAGTAATCTTCCTAAAATACAACCAAATATTCACTATTTACACACTAGCGCTATCTGATCATGAAACTTGCCAAACAATAACTTTTCCAACAAATATAAATACAAGTCATATTAGGACAACGTTGTGATTTGAGGAAAAAAGAGACCTTAGTAATGAAAACGTGAAAAAAACTCTGTCCTATATTTTAGCCCCACCATTGCAGCATTATTAAAATACGTTTATATTTGAAGTACAATCTTTCGACAGCAAATAAAAAAAGAAATATGAAAATATATTACAAATATAGAAACGTTTTAAGGAAACGCATACTGCAAGCTCAGATACTTGACAATATACGCTACCTTCTCAATTCTAACAACAAAAGTAAGGTAGCTTGGCGAATAATAAAAAACGTTAATAATGATGTGGTAGTTATTAATGACATAACTATTGGGTTGTTCGGAAAGTCATTTCGTTTTTTCCCGACAGAGGATTTAATTGTATTCTTTTGCACCCAACTTCACATTTAAGCCGTATAATTTTTATATGCTTTCAGAGCTCATATAGCAAAGCTTATGTGTGAAAAATTCCAATTAATTCTACGCAGTAATTTTTGGTTGGTGCCCTTTTAAATATGGAGAGCGATATAAGCAGCATTTTCGACATATAAAGGGTAAAAATGCTGTTCAAGCCAGAAAGAAATTGACTGATGTTTATGGAGAAGGTGTGTTGACAGTACGCCAGTGCCAGAACTGGTTCGCTAAATTTCGATCCGGCAATTTTGATGTCGAAGATGCACCACGTTCGGGAAGGCCGGTTGAAGCTGATAAAGACGCGATAAAGGCATTAGTTGATGTGAACCGGCGAATAACAACACGTGAGTTCGGATTGAGGTAAAATTTATCAAATTCAACAGTTTATGACCACTTGAAAGGCCTGGGATTATCCTTGAAGCTCGATGTAAGGGTTCCCCATGTTCTTACAGAGAGAAATCTGTGTCGCCGCATTGACGTCTGCGATTCGCTTCTCAAACGTCACGAAAATGATCCGTTTTTGAAGCTCATCATAACTGGGGACGAAAAATGGGTTGTATACAACAACGTCAAACGCAAGAGGTCATGGAGCAAAAAAGATGAACCGGCTCAAACCATTTCCAAAGCCGATATTCACCAAAAAAAGGTGATGCTGTCTGTTAGGTGGGATTTTAAAGGAATCGTTTTTTTTTTTGAGCTTTTACCGGAAAACACAACGATTAATTCGGAAGTCTACTGTCATCAGCTGGACAAACTGAATAATGCACTTCAACAGAAAAGGTCAGAACTAATCAACAGGAAAGGTGTAGTGTTTCACCAAGACAACGCGAGACCTCACACAAGTTTGGTCACTTGCCAAAAGCTTTTATAGCTTGAATGGGATGCAATGCTATACCCACCATATTCTCCAGACCTGGCACCATCGGATTATTATTTGTTCCGGTCACTCCAAAATTTTTTAGACGGTAAAATCTTCACCTCAAATGAGGAGGTCAAAAACCTCCTCGATCAGTTTTTTGCCAGCAAACACCAAAAATTTTATGAGCGTGGAATTATGCTACTACCAGAAAGATGGCAAAAGGTGTTGGACCAGAACGGTCAATATATAATTTAACAAAGTATTTGTTTATTATACGAAAACTGTCTTTCATTTCCACAAAAGAAAAAAACGAAATGACTTTCCGAACAACCTATTACAATAACAAATAAATACATATTATCAGTCAGATAAAATAGCGGATGTGTTAACAATTACTTTATAAATTTAACTAATGACATTATAAACAAAAAAATAAATAAAAATAACAACCAATAATAACCATACATCTAAATTGACATTATGTCCCAATTCTATGTATCTCAAAGAGATTTATATATATATATATATGTTTACTATGTCTTTGATGTATCTAGTTCCAATACATAACACTGACATTACAAAAATAATTATTTCCTTAAATAATACAAATTCTACAGTTTATGATGACATTAGTATTGAAATCTTAAAACAATGCTCCATATTTATTCATTATCAATTTATCTTTTGTTCAAGGCATATTCCCAACTAGATTAAAATTTTCTATCGTTAAACCACTTCACAAGAAAGGCGATAAAAGTGATATTAACAAGTATCGGCCCATAACACTTATAACTGTTTTATCTAAAGTATTAATTAGAAAATGCCATACATACCAGAAGCAATATGGGTTTACAAAAACAATTCAACGACTTTAGCGTGTTTTTAAAATGATAAGATTTCTGACATAGTAAACAAGCACCACCTAAAGTCGAATATGGGAAAAACGTCATGGAAGAAGTTGACCATACTAAATTTTTAGGTGTAACAATAGACAAGTTCTGTAATTAGAAGACACGTATTTTTAACCTATGTAGAAAGTTAGATAAATTTGTCTTTGTTCGATATCGTCTAATTATATTAAAAAAAAATATTTTTTTGACAAATGAAACTATTTTGCTATTTTTGCATCTAACAATGACATTTATAAAAGCGGGAAAATAAATTTTTGCTTTTTTAAGAGTATCGAGCGCCCACAACTTAATGCTGGCGGGACATACTCGTAAAAAATATACAGTGTTTTACAGATAATTTTTACTATAGAGTAAATTCTATAGATAATTAATAGAATCAGGCTTTACTAAGCGAAACCCACTATATTATAATGTTGCGCGCCACTATTAATGTCTTGTACATGGCAACACTAGTAACACTAGCGCCCTCTAGTGTCGAGTAGCAGAACTAGAAGAGTCAAGATCCTTCCAGAAATTTCGGGACCGATATGTACTCGAACATTCTAGATTTCGCTACAGTAGAAGGTTCTGGAAACTATCTGAGGCCCTATATAAGGCCGGTATAGACCACGACTGAGGCAGTATTGAATTGGCGATACAAGAGAATACTTCGAAGCGAAATAATTGCGAACCAAAGTGACAATTGTGTTTTATAATTGTGTGGTTTTAGATTGTAATTAGTGTTGTGTAATTAAAGTGTCAATTTTGGTAATTCAATCGGCAGTTTTTAATTGTCTCGAACCCCAAGCTCGTAACAATTGGTGTCAGAAGTGGGATCAAATCATGCCGATTTTACCAAAGGACGACATGGAGGGTATCCGTAGCCGAAGTCAACGCCAGCTGGAGACGGACCAGAGACGATTTGGTAATGCAGCACCTGACTTAGGTGTTCTGATGATGATGCTGCAGGATCAGGCTCGCCGAAAGGAGGAACAGGCTCGCCGACAGGAGGAACAGGCCCGTCGGTTGGAAGAGCAGCTGCAGCGCGGACAGGAGGAACAGGTCCATCGGTTGGAAGAGCAGCTGCAGCGCGGACAGGAGGAACAAGCCCGTTGCTTGGAAAAGCAGCTCAAACGCGATAAGGAAGAGCTGATGCTTCTCATGAAGAACCTTCACGCTACCTTTGGGAAAGAGATAAAGGAGGTGAATGATAGGGTTGCTCAACATGACAACCGCCTGTCGGAAGCTAAAACCCGAATCGACCAAGTGAACAATCGGGTTGACAACGTGATGGTTGACGTGAAGAAAACGCTGGACGACCTCAAATTGGGGATGGAGTTACAGCTCCCGTGGTAGCTACAACACCTTCGCTACGTGGATTCAAAGTGCCACCTTTCGACGGGACTGCTTCCTGTTCGGCCTACAAAATCCAGTTCGAGGCTGTCATGAAAGCGAACGGCTGGAATAAAAGTCAGGCCATGACTGCTCTCACCCTAGGCCTGCGCGACCAGGCCTTAACTGTTCTGGAAGCTCTCGGTAAGTAAGTGACTTACGAGCAGCTCCTTTAGGCATTGGAGGCGAGATATGGCGACGCTCACCTGGAACACGTCTTTCGTACGCAGCTCAAAGATCGCCTGCAACGCAGTAACGAAAACCTGCAACAGTGGGCCCTTGAGGTGGAGAAGCTGGTTCGAAAAGCGTACCAGTCTGTACCTGCGCTCATTGTAGGGAACCTGGTGCAAACATTCATCGACGGCATCCGTGACCTTGAAGTCAGAGCTGCTGTGAGACTCGGGCACCACGAGACGCTTAAGGACGCCTTGACCCATGCACTGAAGGTGGAAGCCGTGCGGCAGGATCATCATTCCCACCGCGTCAGGGAGGTTGCAGCAGCTACAGTGCGGGACCGCAATAACGGCTACAGCCCTAGGTGCTACGGCTGTGGGGAAAGGGGCCATTTTCGATCCAGCTGCCCTAAGCGAACTGTAGAAAGGGAAGGTGATTGATCTCGAGAGGGTAGTGCGGCTAATAGCACCGTCCAGCAGCAGCAGGGAAACGAGTAAAAGCCAGGACTGCGGGGCGGGTGCTGGCTGATGTTAAAAGAGCCCCAAGGATTTCGATCTCACAAACCCATGATGAGAACAGCCTAATCATCAAGGGCGAAGTCAACGGAACGCCATATAAACTGACCATAGACACTGGAGCCTCTCACACGGTTGTCAGTTCCCAACTTATAAGTCGGTTCCTTGGAGACTCCGCATACAACCGAGAACGCATTAATTTGGTGACAGCCACCGGTCAGCGCATACCCGCCTTGAAGAGAAGGAGATGGAGTTGAAGCTAGGCAACATGATCTACCTGCATAATGTCATCGTGGCTGATATAATGGACGACTGCATCCTGGGCCTAGACTTTATGAGGAAGAAGTGTTGTGAGATCGTCGTTAAGCAAGGTATTTTGAAATGTGCACAAGAGGAACTTTTCGTGGAAGGGGCGTTACCAGGGAATGTGTACAGCCTTAAGAAGATTGTTCTTCCGCCGAGATCGGAAACGATTGTGCCGGTTAGACTTCCTCGGAATCTTGCGCAAACTCTTCGTTGTGTACTCGTGGAAAGGGTAGACAATAACCTTCCATGGATAGTGGCTCGAACCTTGGTCAGAACCACCGACATCTCAGAAGTACGTGTGCTGAACCTTTGTGATCAGGAACAGATTGTAGAAAAAGGCACATTGGTTGGTACTAGTGAGGAAGTGGATTGGTTGCGTCGGTGCCAATATCTATTGACTGGGACCCCCAGCAAGGATGGACAAATGAGAGTGACCACACTTTTAGAAGACTGTCGCAGCATTCTCTCCCCGAATGAATTGGTCAAGTCGAAGAAGTTGTTACTCAAGTACGCCAATGTTTTCTCGTCAAAAGAAGCTGACATAGGAAAGACTGGCTTAGTTCAACACAAAACAAACACAGGGGAAGAAATGCCTAATCGTCAGCGGCCAAGAAGATTGCCTGTAGCACGTGAAAAGGAAGTAGAAACCATGATTGAATTGTTAAGGATGGTGTTATTGAACCTTCATCTAGTCCATGGTGTTCATCTGTGGTGCTGGTAAAGAAGAAGGACGGCAGCATGCGGTTTTGTGTTGATTACCGCCGCCTGAACGACGTTACGAAGGACAGCTATCCTATGTAAATTGGTTTAGTACGCTTGACCTGAAAAGTGGATACTGGCAGGTTGAAATTGACCCTAAGGACAAGGATAAAACTGCATTCTCCACAGGAAAGGGTTTCTGGCAATTTGAAGTCATGCCGTTCGGATTGTGAAATGCTCCAGCAACGTTTGAAAGGTTGATGGAGCTTGTATTTACCGGTCTAATTGGAGATGCCTGTCTGGTCTACTTGGATGACATCATCATCGTAGGCCGTACGTTTGAGGAACACATGAAGATCCAGAGTGCCAACCTCAAGTTGAGTCCGAAAAAGTGCTCACTATTCAAACGGCAAGTTAGCTTTTTGGGGTATGTATTATCGGAAGAAGGTATCCGCACGGATCCAGAGAAAATTGCCGCGTCAAGGAGTAGCCGGTTCCAAAAGACAAGACACAGGTTAGAGCATTTTTGGGTTTGTGCTCTTATTATCGGCGATTTGTGAAGAACTTTGCAGATATAGCCAAACCTCTGCACAAGCTAACCGAGGAGAATTGACATTTCTGCTGGGATGAAAGTTGCGATATTGCATTCCAGGAGCTCAAGAACCGTCTGTGCAAAACACCTATTTTGGGGTACCCTGATGCGGGTAAGGAATCCATAGTTGACACAGACGCAAGTGATATAGGACTTGGCGGTGTGTTGTCTCAACGGAATGGTGATCAAGTGATTGTGATAGCGTACTTCAGCAAGTCGCTGTCAAAGCCGGAAAGGAACTATTGTGTAACAAGACGGGAATTGCTTGCTGTGGTAAAGTCCTTGCAGCATTTTAGCAAATATCGTCTGGGGCAGAAATTTCACTTACGAACTGACCATATTGCACTGAAATAGCTATTGCAGTTCAAAAATCCGGAAGGACAAGTTGCGAGATGAATTGAACTACTGCAGGAATACGACTTTGTGATCGAATATCGCAGCGGGAAATCTCATGGCAATGCAGATGCATTGTCAAGAAGACCTTGCCCTGAAGATTGCAAGCATTGTACTAGGCAAGTGGGTAAGGAAGTGGTATCTGTGAGGATGCTCAGGACAGATCAGCTCAGCAATGAGTGGAAGGACAGCCTACAACATGCACAGCAGGAAGATTCGGACATTAAGCTGATTCTGGAATGGATGAAGGCCAGTGCTCCTAAGCCCAAGTGGAGCGACGTCTCAGCAATGAGT